CTTGTGTACCCTGGACACAACTGGGTACAGAGAGGGCACAGCCGAGACAGAGGAGACACAGCTGAGGAGGAACCCAGAGGACAAAAGCTCCCTTGTACATGCACTGAAAAGAAAAAAAAAAAAAAAGGTCCCTTTCCTACCCTTATGAGGTGGGCTTCCTGCCTGTCCCTCATGCACATTCATAACATTCAAATTTATGCCGTAATCTCCGCCACTCCATATGTATGAGCCTTTGATGGGTGTTTGGGTTTATGGGATGCACCCAGCCCTCCGTTCCCTCACCCGCCCACCGCCTCTAACCACTGCAAAGACGCTCGTACATAATTGACATCGGCAGATTCTTTCATTATACAAGATTTAGCATCTGCTCGGGGATCGCTCGCTCCTCACTCACTATAGATGACTTTTCCCTGCATTTCCTATTATCAATTCAAATTAGCCCCATCTCCCCACCCAACCAGTGCAGCGTTTACACTTGACAGTGAGGAAACAGCAAGGCTATAATGGGCTTCTCAATTATTTAGGCCCAGTTAGGCCAGGACCCAGAAGGCCTCAACAAGGGGGTGTGCTGGGATGAGGTCATCCCAGGAAGAGGCTAGGGTAATAACTGCTTGATTTCTCCTTGACCTTCCTATAATTCTCTCACCTTTTACCTTGGGGACCCCCTAATATTTGGGTCTACACGACTGAGACAGTCCCTTACTGCTGCCACAGTCATCAGCAGCTGCCTCGGGTGTACTTACTCAATCGGAGGACCTAATGAACTACCAACATTAACCAAAGAATCAGGGGCTTTATTGCCAGTTGGCCTGGCCCCCTCCTCTTATTACAATTTCTTTTTTTTTTTTTCTTTCATCCTTTTTTTTTTTTTTTTTGGTTTTTCAAGACAGGGTTTTTCTGTGCAACAATCCTGGCTGTCCTGGAACTCTCTTTGTAGACCAGGCTGGCCTCGAACTCATAGAGATCTTCCTGCCTCTGCCTCCTGAGTGCTAGAATTAAAGGTGTGCACCACCAAACCCCGCACGACCTACTTCTTTAAGGCTTTGTGAAGATAAGTGGTGGTGCCCTAGGAAAGCTCCAAACTCTGGAGGGCTAGGAAGAAAGAGGCAGAGAAACTCAAACTCTGGAGTGCTAGGAAGAGGCAGAGAAGCACAGATCCGGAACTGGAGACACAGGAAAGCCTGAGAACTGAGAGCTTCTGCAGGGGCTTTGGGAGAAGTCAGAGCCCAGCAGAAAGCAGACGGCAGAAGCCCTTGCTCTGCTCAGACCACGGCTGCGCTGAGCTGTAATTAGGTCAGTCTTGCCCACATGCTGTGCTGCCCTGACTAGCCCAGGCTCAGCCTCCTGGAATAACTCTTGGACCCAGTGGCTATACAGGAGCCACTGGGCTCCCTGAAGCCCTCTAAAGGCCCACGTACTGGGCAGAATTTGCAAGTCAGCACCAGGGCTCAGCCTCAGACTCCTGCCAACCCTTTAGCCATGTCAAGCAGGGCCCAGGCAGCCAACTCAGCCCCCCACAGCCCTGGGCTCCTCTGCAGCAACCCCCCTCCCTTTTCCAGCCCAGATCAGTTTCTGAGGGCGGTGATGGGGGAGGTGGCAGGTGGGGGTCTAGGAGGCTGTGGGATTAGAAGTGGCTTTCCCATGCTCAGCCTCTGCAGAATCAAAGAATTCCTCCATCTGACTGGATTTACTCTAAGTCACAGGCATATGGGACCTTCTTTCCCTCAGCAACAGCTGGAAACAGCCCTAAATATGATTAATTAATGTTGTGAAAAGCCCCGGACACAATTAAGGGATGTATGTGTGTGTGTGTGTGTGTGTGTGTGTGTGTATTGGACAGGGGAGAGGAGGGCAACAGGAGGCATGTAGATTTCCAATTTAGCCACCTGGGGGTGGGGCCTCCAGGGAAGCAGAGTGACATTTCCCCAGAGTCGCTTCTTTGACACGCAGGGGTCATTTTATCCTGCCTCCAGTTTTGACAGATCAGTCCTTTCCTTTGTCCCAAGGGCACGAGGCTATTTTCTCTCTGATGGGGGTGGGGTGGTAGGTTGGAGCAGATGTGACATCTTCCCCTTTCCAAGTAGAACGTTCTCCAAACCTCACTGTCTCTTGCTGATTCTAGGGATCACGGACGTATGTCCCACTACGCTGATCAGAAACAAGCCCAAATGGGTCATAAACGGGAACTCAGAGGACACTGAAGGAGTGATTGACCAGCCAAGCCTCCTATGCTGAAAATGGCCTACATTCATCCTTTCCTCTGCATCTATACAAAAGACTAGAGGCCTTACCCTGTGTCCCTTCCACACCCAGGCCCAGCTCTGTGCGACTGGGTTTTCATTCCTTAAGGTATGGGCAGCTTTGCCTTGACAAACTGTTGGTAATAAGCAGTGTTATCTATAATGAGGAAAAAAAAAGGGGGGGCAGGGAACATAGACCGCTCTATCAAATCACCCAAAATTCACTACTAGATTTCAATAATGTCTTAGTTAGAATTTCTGTTGCACTGAAGAGACACCATGACCACAGCAACTCTTGTAAAGGAAAGCATTTAAGTGGGGCTGGCGTACAGTTGAGAGGTTTAGTCCGTTATCATCACGGTGGGAAGCCTGCATGGCTTCAGGCAGACAGACATGGTGTTGGAGAAGGACCTGAGAGTTTCTACATCTGCATCAGTAGGCAGCAGGAAAGAGAGAGACACTGGGCCTAGCTTGAGCATTTGAAACCCCAAAGTCCACCCCCAGTGACACTCTTCCTCCAACAAGGCCACACCTCCTAATATTGCCACTCCCTATGAGTCTATGGGGACCATTTTCATTCAAATCACCACAAATAATTAAAAATACTATATTTGTATTAATATGTAGAGATTTTTATATGTGTCTACAGTGTATTTTTCATTTTTCATTTAATTTTTTAAATTTCGTGTGTGTGATTGTTTTGCCTACATGATCCATGAAGGTCAGAAGAGGTCATTGAATCCCCTGGAACTGGACCTAAGGATGGTTATGAATCATCATATGGATACTGTGAACCAAATCTGAATCCTCTGGAAGAGCAACACTGCTCCTCCTCCTCCTCCTCCTCCTCTTCTTCTTCTTCAGATTTATTTACTTTTTATTATGTATAGTATTCTGCCTGGATAGATGCCTGCACACCAGAGGAGTCTCCGTGTGGTTGCTGGGAATTGAACTCAGGACCTCTGGAAGAGTAGCCAGTGTTCTTAACCTCTGAGTCATCTCTCCAGCCCCCTGCTCTTAACTTCTTAATTTCTGAGCCGTCTTGCCAGCCCTCACAATGTATTTTCATTATATCCATCCCCATTCTTCCCCTGCAATTCCACCTCTGCCCTGCTAGACTTCCTGGGCTGTTTTGTTTTGTTCTGGGTTTTGAGTTTTTGTTTTGTTTTGTTTTTGAGGTCTTTTTGTTTGGTTGGTTTTTTGTTTTGTTTTTGTAACTGAGTCCAGTTAGTGTTGCCCATGTGCCAATGTGTGTGAGAGCATCCACTGGGAAATGAAGAACGGACCAGTGACCACATTCTTAGAAATTCCCCCACCTTCTGCAGAAGCCATCTATGGCTAACAGCTGTTCAGCTAGAGGTGGGGCATTGTGAGCCCCTCTTCCACTCATGTTGGAATTTTGACTGGCTTGATTTTATACAGGTCTTGTGCAGACAACCACAGCTGCTGTGACTTCATGAGTCCAACTTCTGTGTCATGTCCAGAGCACAGCATTCACAGCTCTCCTTCCATCCTCTGGCTCTCACAGTCTTCCTGCCGGCTTCCCGACATGTGCTCCGAGCCTTGTTGGGGTCAGGGGGTGATATAGAGGTATTTATTTTAGGGTTGAGTAATCACAGTCACAAATTATCAGAATTTTGGTCAGTTAGGAGTCTTTGCATTCACTGCTTCCCACTACAAATGGATTATATGACCAAGTTTGAGAGCATCATAAATCTATGGGAATAAACATAAACATTTAGAAGGCCATAAATTATTATTTATAGCAATGGACTGACATGCTGCAGTTTTTTTTTTTGTTTGTTTGTTTTGTTTTTTGTTTTTTCACTCTTTGCTTTTTGGGGGCCCTCTACTCGCTTCCAAATAAACACATGGAGACTTATTCTTACTCATGAATGCCCGGCCTTAGCTTGGCTTGTTTCTAGCCAGCTTTTCTTAAATTATCCCATCTACCTCTTGCCTCTGGGCTTTTACCTTTCTCTATTCTATATACCTCTCTTTCCTTCTTACTCGGTGGCTGGCTGTGTGGCTGATTGACTGGTCCCTCCTCTCCTTCTCCTCTCTTCTCTTCTCTAGATTTCGTCTATTTATTCTCTCTGCATGCCAACCCCACCTATTTCTCTCTCCTGCCTCACTATTGGCCGTTCAGCTCTTTATTAGACCAATCAGGTGTTTTAGACAGGCACAGTAACATAGTTTTACAGAGTTAAACAAATGCAACTTAAAAGAATGCAACACATCTTTGCATCATTTAACAAATATTCCATAGTGTAAATGAATGTAACACATCTTAAACTACTATTTTCCACAACAACATGCTTCTGTTTTGCTGAAATGATTCAACCCCAGAAGAGGTCTTCTAGGTTCTAGCCTGATAGCCAAAAACAGAGTAGATTAGAATGAGCATGGAGAAGCCCCATATGCTAATCCTCACCTCAGACCCTTCTGGGGTCAGTAGGACGTCTTCTTAATAGTCTGGTGTGCTGGCTAGTTTTATGTCAACTTGACTCAGGCTAGAGTCATCTGAGAGGAGGGAACCTCTCAACTGAGAAAATGCCTCCATAAGATTGGGCTGTAGGAAAAAAAAAAAAAAATTACCTGGCAGGGGAGATACCATGATCACGAAGGTGGTTTTCCCAGGGCGAGGCTTATCCATTGCACTCCGGATGTGCTGACCCCTGCGATTTCCCCAAATGCGGGAAACTCGACTGCATAATTTGTGGTAGTGGGGGACTGCGTTCGCTCTCTCCCCTCAAAAAAAAAAAAAAAAAAAATTGGGCTGTAGGGCTAGAGAGCTTTCATGGGGCCAACCTAGGCCCTTTACATATGTGTGACAGTTATATAACTTGGTCTAATTGTGGGACTCCTAGTGATGGGATGAGGGCCTGTCCCTAATGCTTGAGCTGGCTTTTGGGAACCTATTCCCCATACTGGGTTGCCTCTCCCAGCCTTAAAACGAAGGGAGGAGCTTAGTCTTACCTCAAGTTGATATGACATGCTTTGTTGACACTCATGGGAGCCCTGCCTCTTTCTGAACAGAAACAGAGGAGGAGTGTATGAGGTGGGGAGCAGAGGTGAGGCTCAGGGAGGGGATGGGAGGAGAGGAGGAAGGGAAAATTATGGTCAGAATGTAAAATAAATGAAAAAATTTAATTAAAAATAACAAAGATTGAGCTGTAGGCAAGCCTGTAGGGTATTTTCTTAATTGGGAATTGATGGGGGAGGACCCAGCTTATGGTGGGTGGTACCATCCCTAGGCTAGGTCCTGGATTCTATAACAAAGCAGGCTGAGCAAATTTTGAGAAATAAATCAGTAAGCAGCACCCCCTCCATGGCCTCTGCATCAGTTTCTACCTCCAGGTTCCTGCCCTGTTTGAGTTCCTGTCCTGACTTCAATGAGGGACTACGATGTGGAAACGTAAGCCAAACAAACCCTTTCTGTTGCTTGAGTTTTCCTGCCTGGCCCACAGTCAGGACAAATCTTTCTCACCTGCCAGTCCCACAGCCGTCAGACCCAACCAAGTAAACACAGAGACTTATATTGGTTACAAACTGTATGGCCGTGGCAGGCTTCTTACTAACTGTTCTTATAGCTTAAATTAATCCATTTCCATTTATCTATACCTTGCCACATGGCTCGTGGCTTACCGGCATCTTCACATGCTGTTTCTCATCGTGGCAGCTGGCAGTGTCTCTCTGACTCAGCCTTCCACTTCCCAGCTTTATTCTCCTCCTTGTCCCGCCTACACTTCCTGCCTAGCCAATGGCCAATCAGTGTTTTATTTATTGACTAATTAGCAACATATTTGCCATACAGAACATCCCACAGCACCTTTCCTCCCCAACTTACTTTTTGTTATGGGTTTCATCATAGCAGTAGTATCTTTAACTAGGACACGTGGTTTCCAGGAGAGCAACCCAGGGAGGTTGGGGGATGCCCAGACGTTCCTTGGGAAAGGGTCTCCATACTTCTCGATGATACACATAACAACCGACACTCCTGGACTTAAACCACCAGGACTGAAAGTCAACATCTGGGTATCAAAGCTAAGGAAGATGTGGATCTTCCTTGTCAGACACGGCCCTTGCCTCTCAGGAAGAGGCTGACCTTTGCAGGAAAGTGGCCTTTAGAATCATTGGTGGAATTCCTGCAGTTTTTGCTGGTGACTGAGTAGAGATTCTAAGGCCCACACCAGATCACTAGAGTGAAAGGTGATTCTTAAAGAGGGAAAATGAAAATCACTTCTCAACCCCCAAGTAGGAGAAGCGTGTCCTGAGGCCAGATGTGCATTGGCTCTGCCCTGGGCTCAGCTATGCGGAGAATCCTGACCATCCATCATACCATTTCCATCATGCCCTTCAGACCTACAATGTTCTACATCAGGGAGGGGGTTAGAGGAAGGATGGTGTGATCATGGAGGGAGAAGCGGGGGTTGGAGGCTGGGAGGAGATAGCAGGAAATCAGGAAGGGGATTTGCAGCTTCTTAGGAAAGTCTTTATGCCTTTCTTACAGACTCTTACTTCCTGGGAGTCCAACAGTGGTATGAACACAAAGGATTTCTTGTATCCTCGTGAGTGAATGTATTTTTTTTAATTTGTTTTTATTTTATGTGCACTGGTGTTTTGCCTGAATGTATGGTATGTCTGTGTGAGTGTGTCAGATCCCCTGAAACTGGAGTTACAGACAGTGAGCTGTTATGTGGGTGCTAGGAATTGAACCCAGGTCCTCTGGAAGAGCAGCCAGTGCTCTTAACCACCTAGCCATCTCTCCAGCCGTGAGTGTATTTCTGCATGGGCGCCATCTCTGTCCAGTGATCCTGTGGCTAGGGATAGATGGGCCAACAGAAAGAACAAGAATATAGCTATTTAAAGTCCAGTTTCAGCGCTTCTGAAACCCTCACACATACATGTAGGCAAAATACCAATGAATATAAAATAAAGGTTATACACACACACACACACACACACACACACACACACACACACACACACATCAAACAAACCAAAACCAAAAAAAATATAGCTATTTATTTTATTTTTAATTAAGAGTGTGTGTGTGTGTGTGTGTGTGTGTGTGTGTGTGTGTGTGTGTGTGCACATGTGTGGAGGACAGAGAACAACCTGCCACTACCTCCACCATGTGTGTCCCAGGGATCTAACACCAGTTATTGGACTTGGTGACAAGTTCTTCCTCTGTTGCATCATCTCACTGGCCCTTCGTTTTATGTTTGAGAACTTCGTTTTATGTTCATGGAACTCAGGCTGTCTTCAAATTTGTCACGTAGCTGAGAACAACTTTGAACTTATTTTTATGTGTATATGGTCATGTGTGCAGGCGTGTATACATATGTGTGTGTGAATGCATGTGGAGGCCAAAGAACAGTCTTGGAAGTCATTTCTCAAACCATATTCTTTTTAGACACAGTCTTTCACTGGCCTAAAACTCTCACCAAGTGGGCAAGGCTGGCTGGTCAGCAAGACCCAGGGATCCTCAGTGTTGGAATTACAGGTGTGAAGCACCACATACCCAGGTTTCACTCTTGAGCAGGGCTTTCCAAAACTCTCAGCCAACCATGTAAGTCGAGTCTCTACCAGAGAGGGGCCCATCGTACGACCAGGTCTGCCCTGGGAAGCCCCATTCAGGCTGCAGCTGCCAGGAAGCCTGCCACAAGCCTTTCACTTGATTTCCTCACAGCCTAGGAAGAGATGGGAAAGGAAGAAAAGGTGACTTAGATGGAATCAGGGCCTCGCACATACTTGCTAAGTGTTCTACCCCTCAGCTACACCTGTTAGCCCAGAGCAGCATTTCATTTATTATTTTTTGTTATTTTTTATTAATTTTACATATCAACCACAGATTCCCCTCTCATCCCTCCTTCCACTCCCTCACCTTCCTCCCCTACCTCTCATCCCCTCCTCCAACAGGGTAAGTTCTCCCATGGGGGGCCAGCTAAGCCTGGTACATTCAGTTGAGGCAGGACCAAGCCCCTTCCCACTTCATCAAGGGTGAACAAGGTGTCCGACCATAGGTAATGGGATCCAGAAAGCCGGCTCATGCACCAGGGATAGATCCTGATCACACTGCCAGGGGCCCCTCAAACAGACCCAGCTACACAACTGTCTCCTGTATGCAGAGAGTCTAGTCTGGTCCCATGCAGGTTCCTCAGCTGTCGGTGTAAAGTCTGTGAGTTCCTTTGATCTTGGTTCAGTTCCACTGTTGGTAGGAGTGCAAACTTGTACAGTCACTTTGGAAATCAGTATGGCGGTTTCTCAGAAAGTTGGTTATCAATCTACCTCAAGACCAAATGATACCACTCTTGAGTATATACCCAAGGGATGCTCAAGCATACCACAAGGACACTTGCTCAACTATGTTCAGAGCAGCATTTTAAATGATACACCTCAAAGAACATTTGAGTCATCTAGTGAGGTAGGTATTATTGTCATCTCCTGATGAAATAAAAAGGTTGAGAATCTAGGAGCTTAAGAACTGGTTTAAAGCCACATGTCTGTGAAGGGGTGAGTCCCGCCCAGGGCATGGCATTCTTCAGCAAACCAATACAGAATCTCACACCACTGGGCATGGGTTCCAGAGTTAACAAATGAAAATACAGGATTCCTAGGAAAAGCGGAGTTCCACATAAACAAATACACTTTTAAAAAGGTTTAAGTGAGGCCGGAGAGGTGGCTCAGTGGTTTAGAACACTTGCTCTTGCAGAGGACCCGGGTTCAGTTCCCAGCTCTGCCCCCACCTGGCAGCTAACAACCATCTATAACTCCAGGTCCAGGGAATGCAATGCCTCTTTTGACCTCCACAGACTCCTGTATGCAGGGGATACACAGACTTATACTCAAGCACACACATACACACATAAAATAAATAAATTTAAGTCTATCCCAAATAATGCACAGGATTACTTATACTAAGGATTTACTTGTATATATCTGAAATTGCATTTTTTTTTTTTTTTTTTTGTTTTTGTTTTTCGAGACAGGGTTTCTCTGTGTAGCTTTGCGCCTCTCCTGGAACTCACTTGGTAGCCCAGGCTGGCCTCGAACTCACAGAGATCCGCCTGGCTCTGCCTCCCGAGTGCTGGGATTAAAGGCGTGCGCCACCACCGCCCGGCTTGAAATTGCATTTTATCCGGCTCTCTGGGGGTTGAGTAACAGTCAAAGTCAGTCCTGCCTCTTTTTCCCAAGAAAAACTGAAAAGCTTTTGAGGAGGAGATAGCCTCAGTATGAGTGCTGAGGTATATTCCTGTAATATATTCCAGCAATAGGGAGGCTCAGACTTTAAATAAATAAATAAACTTTAGCTTTCTGATCTTCATTGTGCAGCTTGGCATTAGTGAATTCCGTAGTCCAGGCAGAGGGAGGATCAAATATGTAGTTCCACCCATGTCTAAGATTTACTCGCCTTTAATCCCAGCATTCGGGAGGCAGAGGCAGGTGGATCTCTGTGAGTTCAAGGTCACCCTGGTCTACAGAGTGAGTTCCAGGACAGCCGGGGCTACACAGAGAAACCCTGTCTATAAAAACAACAACAAACAAATATGCAACAACAATAAAGAAACTCTGGGCTGGAGAGATGGCTCAGAGGTTAAGAGCACTGACTGCTCTTCCAGAGGACCTGAGTTCAATTCCCAGCAACCACATGGTGGCTCACAACCATCTATAATGAGATCTGGTGCCCTCTTCTGGCCTGCAGTCATACATGCTGTATACATAATAAGTAAGTAAATCATTTTTTTTAAAAAAAAAAAAAAAAGAAAGAAACTCTGTCTGAAAAAATTTTAAAAAAACTAAAAAACACCTTACTGGAGCTGGAGAGATAGCTCAGTGATCAAGAAAACTTGCAGAGGACCTGGGTTTGGTTTCCAGCACCCATACAGTGGGTCAGAACTGTCCATAAATCCAGTTACAGGGGATCTGATGTCCTCTTCTGACTCCTTGGTCACCAGGTACATAGGTGGTACACAGACACACATGTAGGCAAAACACTCATACACCTAAAATAAACACATTTTTAAAAGATAATTATTCATTTTTACCATATGTGTATGGCTATTTTGCCCGCCCTCCCTCCCCCTCCCTCCCTCCCTTTCAGCAGGGCCTCATTCTGTAGCCAACCTGGTCTTGAACTCACTATGTGACCCAGGCTGGCCTTGAACTCTTGGCAATCCTTCTGCTTCAGTCATGGAGTGCTGGTATTACAGGCCTGAACCATCAGGCCCAGCTAAGGTCTGAGACCTCTGAAGGTCGGGCCCCAGCACTGCATTTGAGACCACAGCCAAACTCTGAATGGCCCAGGAAACAGGTGACGGAGGAGGAGGCAGCTTTTTTTTCACCCCTTAGCGCCCCCTCCCCCCATAACTATGGTCCACCCTGGCCAGCCACCTGCCCTGGCTCCACTCTGGCTCCCAGCGCCATCCTTGGCAGCTGAACTCTGCTGGGCTCCACCCCAGGCTCCATCGCTCTCTCCAGCGCCTGCTCAGGCGTTTGCTCTCCTTGCTCCCGATGGGCTCACATTCCTACTCCCAGCTTGCTTGCTCTGCTTGCTCCGGGCGTCTCCCTACTGAAGAATTATGTTGCATAAAGCAGCCGCCACCATCTTGAACTGGCAGTGAACTTTGCTTTCTACATATAAATACAGATAGCAATCACACCCCAATCAGCGCCGAGGCTTCGGGGCATCATCTCAGCAACTCTAACTTTCCCATTACGATAATGTGATTTTCACTCAGTCTATAATATCACCAGCCATGAATAAAGCAACTGGCTCTCTCTGCCTCTCTCCTCCCCACCCCCCTTTCTCTGCCTCTCCCCACCCTCCCGTCTCTTTTCTTTTCCTTCCTCTCGCCTTCTCCCCTGTCTCTCTCTGCAGTCCTCCTGGTAATGTCTCCATCTCTGTCTGCATCTCTGAGCACCTCAGTCTTCATCTCCTAGTCTCTCTCTCTCTCTCTCTCTCCCTCTCTCTCTCTCTCTCTCTCTCTCCCTCTCCCTCTCCCTCTCCGCCCCCCCCGCCCCCCCCCCCCCCCCCCCCCCCCCCCCCGGGACTCACATTCCCTAAATACTAATGGTGGGGATTTGCAGTGCCCTCGGGGTTGTTTTAAATTCTGCTCCCCAGCCCTGCCACCGTCTGCCTTTGCCTGAAGGTGAGAATCTGCCAGGGGTGGGGAGCAGGGGGTGGTGGTGAGAATGGCTGGCTGCTAGACTTGGGGGGTGGGGGTGAGGAGGTGGGGAGGGGAGGCTATGAATTCGATCTTATCTCCTTGTTCCTTCCCTTAGGTACCAGGACGGCTCCCATCAAGAATGCCCAAGCCACAGGATTCAGCTAGGGAGATATGAGACAGTCTCATTTAGGAGCGGGTTCTGGAGGCTCTGAAAAGAGGAGGGCCAGGTCCTGTCTCCCAGAACCTCTTCTGAGTCCAGCTCAGTCCCTGGCAGGGCTGTCCAGGCTAAAGGTGCCCTTCAGGACCTGGAGAGAAAAGGCTGCAGATCCTTGATCAAGGTGTCAGTCACCCTTTCTGCTCTGAAGAGGGTTTCTCTCTCCTTTGTGGGGACCACCCCAAACCCAGGTTGGTAGCGACGCTGGTAGGGAGATGGTACTTTAGTCGTTTTCTGTACCCTCTGGGTTTGCTTACCATTCTGCCCTCCTTCCTTGATTTTTTTTTTTTTAAATTATTAGTTGTGGCACCATGGACAGTGCTCCTGATTTCTCTAAGCCCCAGTGCCCTCATCTATAAGATGAGAATTATATGAAACATAATGTGATGGCACAGGCCTCCAATCCCAGAACTCAGGGGTTGGGGCAAGATCAAACCTCAAGGTCATCGTCAGCTACATAGAGAGTTCAAGGCCAGCCTGGGCTACAAGAGACTGTGTTTAAGGTGTGTGTGTGTGTGTGTGTGTGTGTGTGTGTGTGTGTGTGTGTGTGTGTGTGTCTGGTGCGGGGTGGGGGTGGGGAGGAGATGTGGTGGTGGCATACACCTTTAGTCCCAGAACTGGGGGGGGTGGCCAGAGGCAGGATCTCTGTGAGTTCAAGGCCAGTCTGGTCTACAGAGTGAGTTCCAGGACAGCCAGGGCTACACAGAGAGGTCCTGTGTTAAAAAACAAAAACAGCCGGGCGGTGGTGGCGCACGCCTTTAATCCCAGCACTCGGGAGGCAGAGTCAGGCGGATCTCTGTGAGTTCGAGGCCAGCCTGGGCTACAGAGTGAGTTCCAGGAAAGGCGCAAAGCTACACAGAGAAACCCTGTCTCGAAAAACCAAAAAAAAAAAACAAAAACAAAAACAAAAACAAACAAAAAGAGTTGGGGACATAATAATAGCACCTACTATCTACTCTCTGAATTATATGATGTGGGTGACACTGGTGTCCCCCCCCCCCCGTCCCCCCCCCCGCTTTTTTTTTTTTTTTTCTTGAGATAGGGTTTCTCTGTGTAGCCCTGGCTGTCCTGGAACTCACTCTGTAGACCAAGCTGACCTTGAACTCACAGAGATCCACCTACCTCTGCCTCTAAGTGCTGTGATTAAAGGTATGTGCCACCATCACCCCAACTGACTTTTTTTTGGGGGGGACAGGGTCTCACTCTGTAGCCCTGGCTGGCCTAGAACTTGCTATGTAGACTAGGCTGGCCATGAACTCAGAGAGATCCAAATGCTTCTGCCTCCCAAGTGCTGGGATCAAAGGTATGTACTACCACATCTGGCTCAAAAAGTGATTCTTGAATGTGCTGTCTTAAGCAGGAGTGACCAATTAGGATTAGACATCTGCATCCTATTTCTGTGGCTCTAAATGTTCTGCTTGCTTGACTTTAGTTTTTCCTGGTGTCTCTCTCAAAGTTCCTTTAGAAGTATTCCAATGTGAACTCATATGGAAGAGAAGAGTGGTACTCACCTCCTTCAGGACAGGAATGGGTCTCAGCGCTGCAGAAGTCAGAGCTGGGCCTGGGCACCCAGCATCACTCAGGCAAATCCAGTGTCTGGCCAGAGACTGATTTGGGTCCCTTCCCTCACACTTAGTGTCTTAGTTAGGGTTTTTATTGCTGTGAAGAGACACCATGACCACAGCAACTCTTATAAAGAAAAAAAACAATTCATTGGGGTGGCTTGCTCACAGTTCAGAGGTTTAGTCATTATTATCATGGTGGGATATGACAGTATGCAGGCAGACATGGTGCTGGAGAAGTAGCTGAGATTCCTACATTTTTCAGGCAACAGGAAGTGGACTAAAACGCTAGGTTGTATCTTGAGCATACATGAGACCTCAAAGCTTGTCTCCACAGTGACACACTTCCTCCAACAAGGCTATACCCACTGAAGCAAAGCCACACCTCCCAATAGTGCCACTTCCTTTGGGGACCATTTTCTTTCAAACCATCACACTTAGCTTCTCTGCCTTGGCTATAAGGGTGATACTAATCCTTTGAGGTCCAGAAACCAGAGCATCCTTACTCAAGGGCTTTAGCTAAGGGAGGGGATGGTCTGTGAACTCACAAGAGGACTGAGTCTAGTCTTCTTGCATAAGGAATAAGACAAGGTCCATGCTTTCTAGGAGGTCACAGTCCAGAGAGGGAGGCAGATTTGAAAACAGGCAAGTCAGAACATAGGGTGTTAGTTGGCTTTTGTCACTGTGACCAAAATACCCAACATAAGTAATTCTCAGGAAGAAAGACTTACTTTGCTCATGGCCTCAGAGGGTTCAGCCTATCATGAGGTAGGGGTGGTAGTGTTCCTCCGAGCAGAGCTCTGCACTTCACAGTGGGCCAGAAGTCAGGAAGAAGCAGATGCCAGCATACAGCTCTTCCTTCTTCTTCCTCTTGGTTCACAGGGATAGTGCCACCACTGTTCACTTTCCTCTTAGTTAATCCTCTCTGACACACCCTCATACACACATTAAGAGTGACTCAGTCTGGATTCTAAATCCAGCCACGTGACTATGAAGATAAACATCAATGTGAGAGCTACTCAAAGCTGCAAGGCACAGGAAGACAACAAGAAGGAGCTGTCCTTTCCAGCTGAAGATCAGGAGGCAGGGCTCCTGGAGGAGGTGGGGCTGGAGAGCAGGGAGGGCATTATTCCATCCTATCCTAGCCTAGCCTGGCCTAGCCTGGTCTATTCTATTCTTTATGCATATGGTTGTTTGGCCTGGGTACTACTTGTATGCCTGGTGTCCACAAAGCCCTGGGGAAGGTGGATAATCCTCTGGAACTAGAACTAGAGATGGTTGTGAGCCATCATGTGGATGCTGGGATTGAACCCAGGTCCTCTGCAAGAACAAGTGCTCTTAACCGCTGAGCCATCTCTCCAACCCAACCATCATATTTTTTGCCCTGACTGAATGATTCAAAGAAGATGGAGACTAGAAGTAGAATAGGCTTGGGATAAATAAATAAAAGGCAGTAAGTTTTTTGTTGTTGGTACTATTCTTTATTTTTGTTTGTGGTTTTGTTTTGTTTTGAGACCAGGTCTCATCATGCAGCCTGGTTATCTTGGAACTCACTGTGTAGACCACACTGATTTCAAATTCACAGAGATCTACCTGCCTCTGCCTTCTGCCTTCTGGGACGATGGATGCCCAGTGCCCATCATTATCATCTTAAATCTAGTGAGCAGAAACAAGCTTCAAGGCCCCTGCAGACTACAGCTAACCTTTGGCATTGCCTGTTTTGTAGAGGGTCAAGCAAGAGAGGACTCCATGTGGGCCCTAGCTGTCAAGGTGCTCTCTCTCTCTCTCTCTCTCTCTCTCTCTCTCTCTCTCTCTCTCTCTCTCTCTCTCTCTCTCTCTCTCTCTCTTTCTCTCTTTTATTTGTTTGTTTTTGGTTGTTGTTTTTGTTTTTCGAGACAGGGTTTCTCTGTGAAACAGTCTTGGCTGTCCTGGAACTCACTCTGTAGCCCAGGCTGGCCTTGAACTCACAGAGATCCTCCTGCCTCTGCCTCTTGAGTGCTGGGATTAAAGGTATGCGCCACCACCGCCCGGCTAGGGTGGTCTCCTAAGGAGCCAGCTCCCCTCTCCTTCCTTCCTCTGGTTTCCTTTCCTCCATTCTTCTCTCCTAAGTCATTTACCAGTCTTCTCACTTCCCTTTCTTCCAGGCCACAGGGCTAAGTGGAACTGATACTCTACCTTCGTTTTTGGTTGGGGCAAAAGTCTCACCCATTTAGGACGGCCACCTGAGGGGCATCTAGACAGCAACTTCTTCATTCACCAGCCTGAGGTAGACAAGCAATGAGGCCTTTGGAGGGGGAAGGAGGTAGATGGGGTAGAAGAAACAAGGATTGATCATCCTGAGCAGGAGGGGCTGGAGAGATGGCTCGGCGGTTAAGAGCACCAACTGTTCTTCCAGAGGACCCATGTTCAATTCCCAGCACCCACACGGCAGCTCACAACTGTCTGGAGCTCCATTTCCAGGGGATCCAACACCCGCATGCAGAAAAAGTCCACAGAGAAGCAAAGGGAGAGACAGCCATTGAGGAGGATGGAGATGAGATGGTGCCTTCACAAAAAGGCAAAGTGAGCCTGCCTTCTGAGTCACTGGCCCTTTAAAAACAGACCACACGCTGGGCGTGTTAACTCGGGCCTGCAATGGGGAGGCTGAGACAGCAGAATCTCTGTAAATTTGAAACTACTGAGGTAACGGAATAAGACTCTCTCAAAAACAAAAGGACAACAACCCGACGAATCATGCTCACTTGTAGTTCTAGGGAAGCCAGGCAGCGTGGCTGCGAGTTCACAGCCAGCCTGGGCCAAGAGAGAACTCAGACAAACAGAGCAAACAAAATAAACACACAGCAAGCATTTCTCAGAACCTTTGAATCAGAGTGTCTGTGAGGAGACCCAGGGCATTGTGGCTTTTCCAACTTCCCAGCTGCTTCTAGTGTCTAACCATGTTAGAGCTGCAGCCTGCAGGAAATTTCGGACTCTGGAAGCTGCACCTGGTGGCACAAGCCTGTAATTGATTGTAGTTCTTGGGCAGCTGAGGCAGAAGGATCAAGAGCAAGGCCAGCTTGGGCTACATAGTGAACTCAAGCCTAGCCTGGGCTACATAGGAAGACCTCATCTCAAAAATAGTGAGGAGGAACTGGGTATGGTGGCACATGCCTTTAATCCCAGCACTTCTCTGTGAGTTCGAGGCCAGCCTGGTCTACAGGGTGAGTGCCAGGACAGGCAGGGCTACACAGAGAAACCCTGTCTCAAAAAACAAAAGCAAACAAACAAAAACAACAACAACAAAAAAAACCAGTATTAAAAGAATTTCAAGGCCCTCCCTGTCCATTTCTAGTTGGGTGGTCTTGCCAACACATCAGATCTCATTGACCTCAGTTTCTTTATCTTTATAAAATAGGACTCTCAACTTTACCTACTACATTATACAAATTAATAAGCTTAGGAAGACAGTCGGACTTGATATAAATTGTTAATTACATAATTCTACTATGTTTTAAGCTAGGATGCTGTGTGGAAATGTGGTCAAGTTAAATAATACAAAGGGGACTGGGAGATAGCTGAGCAGGCTGAGTATTTTGTCTAGTGCACAAAGCCCTCAGTTCTATTCCTAGAAGTATATAACTGAGTGTGGTGGTAATGCCTAAGGTCCTAGTACTCGGAAGGTAAAGAAGGAGAATCAGAAGTTCAGGATCATCCTCAGTTATGTATTAAGTTCAAGGTCAGCTTGGGCTACTTGAGACCTCATCAAAAAATAAAGAAAAAAAGGATATTATATGCAAAGAGACAGAAAACAAGTACACGTATTAGGAAGGCAAGTGCATTGAGTATAGACACAAACCACAGAGAGCGGCTGGTGGGTTCTAAAAGCAGAGATGTGCCTTTTTAGACATAGACTTTCATGATTTTTAGCTTTCAGAATACGCCATTAAAATATGAGGAGATGAACTATAGTGGTGTGTGTGTGTGTGTGTGTGTGTGTGTGTGTGTGTGTGAACGACTGCTAAAGTGCAGCATCATTTGAGTCTGCCTGTCTGCCTATCAGAAACGTCATCTATAACCTTCACCTTGCAGTTTAATCTCCCCTGCCTCCCCTCGGGCCCTGTTCTGACATTTGAAACCCCATAAATGACAGTAGTGCTCCAAGCCATTTTGAAAAAAGCCAAGCATTTGGAAAATGCACACACACACACACACACACACACACACACACACACACACACACCCCTAAATCCTCCTTCTCCGGAACACATGCTCACTCTCGAGATCATAAGTGGAATCACACACATCCTCATACCTCTGTACTGGCCAATTTAGAAGAAGTCAAAATGACTGCTACTGGTCAAAAAATGTGTACAAGTGTGACATCAGGACATAAGTGCACAGAAGAATGGCTATGTCTGGTGTCTGTGCATGAACTCCAGAGGACACATAGCAGTGGATACGGTTCGTCTCTCACCCTCAAGCCCTATCCACTCCTCTGTGCCTTGGCCTTGAGAGAAGAAGAAAGACCCTGGGGTCCTTGAAAGGCTAGTGGGGTTTGTACCATATGGAAGAGCAGCATGTTTTTAAACTACTGAGCCATCTCTCTAGTCCAATAACTCATTTAAAAAATATTTTTGTGTTGGGTGGTGGTGCTGGTGGTGGTGGTGGCGGCGGCGGCGGCGGCGGCGGCGGCGGCGGCGGCGGCGGCGGCGGCGGCGGCGGCGGCGGCGGCGCACGCCTTTAATCCCAGCACTTGGGAGGCAGAGCCAGGCATATCTCTGTGAGTTCGAGACCAGCCTGATCTACAGAGCGTGATCCAGGCCAGGCACCAAAACTACACAGAGAAACCCTGTCTCGAAAAAAATTTTTTTTTTATTATGAGCTGGGCAACAGTGGCACACATCTTTAATCCAAGTACTCGGGAGGCAGAAACAGGTAAATCTCTGTGTTTGAGGACAGCCTGGATAGTGAGTTTTAGTGACAGCTAGGGCTATGTAGAGAGACGCTGTCTCAAATTTTTTTTTATTACGTGCATTCATTTATGGGGGTGTCATGCGTTCCAAGGTACACATGTGGGAGTCAGAGGACAACTTGTGAGAGGTGGTGCGCTCCTTTAAGAGCCCTGTCTGCTCATGGTCTTATCCCCTGGGATTGGTGCAGATTCTATGACATAGCAAAGATGGGTAAGTGTTTATTGAAAAAATATGTGTAAGCTCTGTAGTAAATGGTGAAGTGTGTGTGTTTGCGCGCGCGCAGATGAGGGTGGGTGGGAGATTGCCTAGTTAATGACAGTTCTTTAGAAGAGATCACTTCTGATCTGGCGCTGAAAGAGCAAGCCCCTATCACTTCTGATATCCACTTGTTCCAGAGTTAGTGACTGTATTTTTGTTTGTTTCTTTTCTTCCCTTCTTCCTTCCTTTCTTCCTTCATTCCTTCCTTCCTTTTTTCCTCCTCCTTTTTCTTTTTTTGCCTTGGACTCTGACTTTGCAATATGATCTCCCCACTCAAAAGCAATGTACCCTCAAATAAAGCAGGAAATGGCAGGCATGGTGAACTAGACTACCCTTGTATAGTCCCGTTAAGAAATGTGGGCCAGCTGGGCAGTGGTGGCGAACGCTTTTAATCCCAGCACTTAGGAGGCAGAGGCAGGTGGATCTCTGTGAGTTCAAGGTCAGCCTGATCTACAGATTGAGTTCTAGAATAGCCAGGGCTACATAGAGAAACCCTGTCTCAAAAAAGAAAAAAAAAAATGTGGACCATCAATGCCCACAGCATTTCCCTAAGCTGGCAACTCTCTTCCTCCATACCGGAGATGTGTTCCAAGGAGGAGAGCAACTCTGGGAAGCTCTGCTTGATTCTGAGGGGCTCTGTAGATTCTTTGTGACAAGGCTGTCTCCTGTGGCTCTCCCTCCCACCACATCCAGTCATCCTGCTTTTTAAGGAACTTGTTTCCAAGGCAACCAATTAGTGTCAGGAAGTGAGGGCTGTGACGTCAGAAGAGGGTGGGGGTAGGGTGAGAAACTCCATCCCCCAGCTCCCTGACTCTGCTCAGCATCTGTAGCCTTGCACCAAAAGCTCCAGAGCAAAAGACCTAGGCCTTTGCCTTTCAGAAAATCATGGCTTCCAGAAAAGCCTGGGAGCAAGTCCTGGGGAGGGCAGAGATCTGGCTCCTCTGGCAAGGCCTCCACCAGCCATTCATTCCAAAGGGCTGAAAGGCTGTGAGACCAAGAGGAGACACATAGAAGAGTAACAGTAATGTGGCCACTGCCACCCTCTTCCCTATCCCCTGGGAGAAAGAGATCTTAGAATTTTTTAATGTAAAACTTTTTAAGTCATGTCACTATTGTGAGGAAAGGGGCATGTGCCATAATGCTCTGTGGAGGTCAGAGGAGCACCTGGTGGAATCAGTTCTCTCTGTTCTACCTTTATGGGGTTCTGAAGGACATCAAACAGAGGACACTGAGTAATCGCTTTCACCTGCTTGCTGAGCTATCTGACTGGCCCATCGTTTCCTGGCTCTGCAGACAAGGTGGAGGAGGAATTATAGTTAAAACAGAGGAGACTCCGCCCTCAGGCTTTCCTTGGGAGCCTGCTCTACCTCCACTGCAGTGATGGAAGCTTTGGTCCCTGTGAGGAAAGTGCATGCTTAGGAAGCCAACCAGGAACACACCCATAGAGTGTAGAAGGAAGGATGCCATGGGTTTGACTTACTGGTCTTTCTTTTCCCCACCCACTGCTGGGGGTGTGGCTCAGTAAGTAGAGTCCTTGCCTAGCATGCAGGAAGACCTGGCTTCAGTCTCCAGCATTGCATGAAACTGTGGTAGTTCACCCTTGTAACCCCAGCACTCAGGAGGTTGAGGCAGGACGATAGGAAATCAAACTCATCCTTGTCTACATAGCGATTTCAAAGCCAGCCTGGGCTACATGAAACCTTGTCTCAGAAACCAAAACAAACTAAATTAAGAATGAGAAGTGGGTAACAGAACTGCAGAACTGTTCAAACCCCTAAATCCTTGAGACCATGGCTGTCTTCCTGAACAAGTTGGTCAATTGAGAAGGTCATTCTGATAAAGAGATAAAGTACAAAATATAGAGGACCTTGTCCTTAGGGTAAAGCAAGAAAGCTGGGCATTTATCTATATGCTGACCCCTGCTGTACCAGCTGAGTGGGGCCAGCTGTGACGATGATGACAATCGCAATGTTAACCTTGTTGGCCAAAGGCAGCAGCTGTATCTCCCAGGGAACTATATTTTACACACTTTCATCCTGTGGTGGCCCCATTAGTGCATAGGACAGGAACTGCTTTCAGGTTGGATCTGAAAGCTGATCAAAATGAAGCATTCTGTGCAAAAATTCTACCATACTGTGCTGAGATAAAACTGGGAAGAAGGGCTGGAGAGATGGCTCACCATTTAAGAGCACTGGCTGCTCATCCAGAGGACCTGGGCTTAATTCCCAGCATTCACATGGTGGCCCCCTGTAACTCCAGTTCCAGGGGATCCAACACTCTCTTCTGGCCTCATCAGGCATGCATGTGGTAAACAAATAATGTGGTATAGGCAAAACACCCATCCATATAAAATGATAATGATGATGGTGATGATGATGATGATGGTGATGATGATGGTGATGATGATGGTGATGATGGTGATGATGATGATGATGATGGTGATGGTGATGATGATGATGAAGCTAGAAAGAAGCAGGACCGCAAAGAGGGAAAAGTTAGGCTGGCTTGGTCTCCAAAAAGGCCTTAACCTATCACAGGCCCTTCAGATTTGTCCTGACCTGGTGGGAAGTGACAGGGCCCAGAGGGGCAAGTTGTACTGGGAAAAAGATATGACCACAGGCAGGAGGACAAGTAAGGACAGCAACTGAGAGGAAAATTCAATTGGCTGTCCCTAGGAAACTTGTCAGCATGTAGAGACCCTACTTCAGGCCTCTAGCACCCACACACCCACCTCGGACCTCTGCTGAGCTCCGGAAATCCCCTCCCCCACTGGAAAGTGGACACTGTGACCTTAATGCCTTCCAACCCAGCCACAGCCCTCACTGCTCTGGGTCACGAGAGAGAGCTTTCCTGACAGAATTGTCGGGTTGACCAAAAGAAAAAGAAGCTTTGAGGAGATTATGCTGTCTGCTCCAGGCCTGGTCCCTTAGCCCTCAAAGAATAGAATCTCAGAGAATCTTTCTGGGGGCTTCTGGAAAGAACTAAAGTGGTGATCAGGGTCCCAGTGATGGTCCGTGTCCCTGGCCAACCCCAGGAGCAGACAGCTGCTTCAGAAAGGCCTTGGCAAAGGCTATGGCTGAGGGGTCAACACGGGTGAGGAAGGGAGTGGACAGAAAGCAGAGTACTAGGGAGGGGCTCCACTGGCTCTCCCAGGAGCAGCCATCCCACGGCAAAGACCTAGGAAGGAAATCCTTGGTCCAGTTTTGCAGTCTGCTAGTTTGGGGCCATCTACTCAACATCATCTGAGTGTTACATGTGGGGTTAGAGTGACTTAATCGGGTACAAGGAGAAAGTGCAAGTAAGAGAATCTCCTACAGAAACAGGAGGCCAAGAGGCAGGAACCCAAAGAAAGCTCTGCAGTTTCTGCTGGGGACACCTAAGAGGATGCACCAGCTCCCGCCTGGAGGGCCATGGGCTTTCTTACCCATTCATGGGAGTGGTGAGAGTGAGGACCCTAGGCCCCGGCCAGGAGAGCTTAGTCACAGAAGGAGTTTTGTTTTATTTTGGTTTTAGCTCTGCCACCCTTCTCCTCCCCACCGACACATCCCTTCATGACCTTGTGACTCCTCTGTTAGGTCTTCTGGCTTTGGCTTCGAGAGAAAGCCAGGCAGGGCGGGGCGGGCTGGAGGCCCGGAGGGAGTGAGGCGGGCAAGAGGCTGAGCCAGTTGCGGAGTCTGCAAGGTGCAAAGCAATCAGCAGAGCCGCTGGTAAGCGGGGTCACTCAGTAGTGTGCACATCAGGGTGAAATCCTTTCAGCTCTTCGCCAAACCCCTAGTGAAAGACAATCAGGCTCGCTGTCACCGAGCTAATTCTGTCTATATAAAAGCAGTAATGAAATTCACGGCAGGATTACCCTCTCCATCCAATGGGCCAGCGTCGTGGTGACATATCTCTCTTATTGCCCGAATGTAACACACCATCTAATTTACGTCGTGTAGCGAGCAGGAATGAAATGTTCATAAAGAATTGCTGCATCTCGTCACCTTAACTGCGGCCCGGGGCTCTGAGGCATCTGTCAGGAAGAGGAGCAGGAGGAGGGAGGGCGGGCGGGGCTCAGGGAGCAGCCGCCAGGGGCAGAGGCTTCTGTGGGGTGGTTGTTTCTTAATAGGGTGAAGTGGAGGCAGAGGGGAGCTGGGGCCAGAATGAGGGGGAGGTCGGGAGGAGAGAGGAGAAAGGGGGGTGCAGGAGCTTTGGGGAGGTGAGGCTGAATAGGGGCAGAATGGAGTGGCCTGTGGGGAGTGCTGGGAAGTCTGTAGGTCTGAGAGGTCAGAGGGAGAGGATGCATGTTTGGGTTTGGGTGAGTTGGGGAGATGAATGTGAGTGCCTGAATAACAAGGGGTTGCTTTAGGGGAAATGACCTTCTCAATGCCTCCCAGGTTCAGCAGGGATTTTGATCATTTCTTCATCCTCTGGAAATGGAAATCCACTCACCTCGGAAGGCATCAGAACTAAATGCACCAATGACCAGGAAGGAAAACCTTTCCCAAAAGTCTTCAAGGAGCAGATAAACGCTCAGAACAAGTTTACAAACCCAGAAGTCAACTAGGGCATCGATGGCGCGCACCTTTAGTCCCAGCACTGGGAGGCAGACGCAGGTGGAGCTCTGAGTTCGAGGCCAGCCTGGGCTACAGAGCCAGTTCCTGGACAGCCAGGGCTACACAAGGAAACCCTGTCTTGAAAAACAAAAAGACAAAACCAACACAAAAACCCAAACCTGAGAGTCAGCTGTGCTCCTGCCTCATCTCCATCTGCAATTGTAGGTCCCAACTATCAGTGAGCCTTCTCAACTCACTGGCGAACAGAGAGCTTGTCCATTCTAGTCTCTCCCATCACCCTTCCCACCCCACTCCAAGGTCACTGCCATCTGTTGCCTAGAGAACTCAGCACCATCACTGTCTCTGAACTTAAAGCATTGCAGTGGTGTCCTCTTGCTCTTGAGAGAAAGTCCAGAACTTACCCTCCAGCTTCTTTGCTCAGTGTTCATGGTTACAAACCATGTTCCAGTCACGTTCGCCTTTCCTGGAGATCTAAATGTGCCACAACAGAAGCAGTCACCAGGAAAGACTTCCCTGAACAATTGCAGCACTGGCCGGGCAGTGGTGGCGCACACCCTTATCCCAGCACTCAGGAGGTAGAGGCAGGTGGATCTCCGTGAGTTCGAGGCCAGCCTGGTCTACAAAGTGAGTTCCAGGAAAGGCACAAAACTACACAGAGAAACCTTGTCTCAAAAAAAAACAACAACAAACAAACAAAAAAAAAATTGCAGCACTACCAACCTGGCCTTAACTCCAGCTCCTAGTACAGATGTCTGCAGACATGTTGCACTTTGGAAAAACCTTGTGATTACTCAGACTTGGTCAGCACCCCCTCTTGTATTAGCTACTTTTCTGTTGCCATAATAAAACACCATGACCAAGGCAACTTATATAAGAAACTTATTTGAGCCTGTAGTTCCAGAGGGTGAGAGTCCACCATGATGGGAGACATGGCAGCAAGCAGCAAGCATGGCTTCAGAAGCGCACTGCTGAGAACTTCCATCCTTCACCACAGGCACAAGGCAGAAAGAGAGAGAACTAGCAATGATGCAGAGTCTACCTCCAGGGGGTAGAGCCTTTCCCCAACAAGGCCACGCCTCCTAGACCTCCCCAAACAGTGCCACAAACTGGGGACCAAGTGTTCAAACACCTGAGCCTATAGCGGACATTCTCACTCCAACCACTGTACCCTCCTTTTTACATATATGCTTATAAATACACACATATAAAATATGCATATATGCTTATAAATACATTTTCTTAGCATCATTTGCTTCCTTTTTCAACTATTTGATCATAGCCTATCTTCTCCCACTGGCTCTGAGCTCCACGAAGGCAGGGGCCCAGTCTGTTTTACTCATTATATTCCCCAGCACCTGGCATAGAGCCCTAGGGGTACTGAAGGTGATAGTATATTTGTTGAATGAAGCAATGAGAGACCTGTAGGACCACCAGTCTAGAATCTTTGGCTGCCCTGGAACTCACTCTGTAGACCAAGCTGGCCTCAAACTCACAGAGATCCACCTGCCTCTGCCTCCCGAGTACTGGGATTAAAGGCGTGCGCCACCACTGCCCAGCTCTGCTTTTTTTTCTTTTTAATTAAAGGTATCTGTGTGTGGATGTGTGTGGGTGTGGGTGTGCACAGTGTAGGTGCTCACTGAGGCCAGAAGAGGACATCAGAGTCCCTAAAAGTGGAGTTACAGGTGGTTATGAGATGTGGGTGCTGGACCCAAGTTTGGATCCTCTGAGAGAGCAGTACATACCCTTAACTGCTGAGCTATCTCTTGAGTCCCATATCTGGTTTTCTGTGGCACTGCCACACATACTATGGCCACCATGCTGAACACATGAAGACACAGTCTCAGCCCATGGAGGATTCACAGCCTAGAGAGAGAAGGCCCGGGGTTGAACCTATACCATGAAGACACAGTCTCAGCCCATGGAGGACTCACACAGCCTAGAGTGAGAAGGCCCAGGGTTGAACCTATACCATGAAGACACAGTCTCAGCCCATGGAGGACTCACAGCCTAGAGAGAGACGACCCAGGGTTGAACCTATACCACGCTGTCTTGTGCCAGAGAAGAGTGACGTCCTCACCCACTGTTAATGTCACCTCTAGGAAGTGGTGATCCTCTGGGATGTTACAAAATTCCCCAAAATTTAGATGAGTTACATTTGGAGGGAAATATCAACAAGGAAAGACATTATTAGAAAGTTATAGTTGGAACATTCAAGCATTTATCAAGTGTCAACTGTGTGTACAACTGTGATATGTAGTTACATTTCCTTACCTTTGAGATAAGGGAATTAAAAGTAGCTGAGTTAAGCAGCTTGCCCCAAAGAGGACACACACCTAGTACATGCTGCCTTTCACTAAATATGTATTGAGTAAAGGAATAGATGGGGAGCTAATAAGCAGAAAAGGACAGAATTCCACCCTAGGCTTCCTGGCTCCAAAGCTCCTGTTCTTCTATACTCCAAATAAACTAGTTTGGAATCCTTGAGATCAGTACTAGAAAAACACCTACTGTCGGGCTCTGAATCTGATGTCCCCTGTCCCAGACCTTCCCACATACATGTCCCTTGCCTTGGACATGATTAAGTCTGGAGAACCAAGAGCAGATCTTGAGTCCACTGGAAAACCCTTGAAGGTGTGCTCTTCCTCATCCTGCTCCATCCATCTTCCTCCAACATCCCAGGCTTGGGTTAGCTGACCAAGAAGCCTACAGAAGCCGGGCTTGGCGGTGCGCTCCTTTAATCCCAGCACTTGGGAGGCAGAGACAGGTGGGTCTCTGTGAGTTTGAAACTGGCCTGGCCTACATAGTGAATGCCAGGACAACCAGGGCTATATAGAGAGATCCTGTTTCAAACAAAACAAAACAAAGACAAAGCAGAGGCTTACAGAAGACTGTCATGTGGGAGCATCTCTTGAAATAGTTCCTTGTGCTTGAGATAGTTGGTCTTTTCTTAGTAGTTCAGAAGTCTTTAAGTACCAGGTGATACGCAGGTAGGCATGTATGTACACATATGATCCTGCACATGTTTATACATGTGAGGAAGTCCATCCTTTCTTTAGCTCGCTCACAGTTCAGTGATATCTCCACTCGAGTTGCGGCACCCCAGTCTACACCTTGAAGCTGACTCCCTGAAGACGTCTATGTATTCAAATCCCTGCAGCGACCTTTCCCACTCATTTCTATCTTCCACACCTGGAAACGGTACTTGACCTTCCAGCTAATGCTCCCAGAAGACACAGAGTGGGACTGTGAATGGTGATCTTCCTCTTACTTTGAGGACAGCTCTGCCCTCTGGCAGTGGGTCCATTTTTCTTTAAAGAGCTAATGTATGGATGGATCATCAAGGAGCTAAGCTACACCTGGCACACAATAACCTCTTTAGTCTTCCTCACTGTTAACGTTATTTATTATAGTTCATTCATCCTTCCTGACCAGAGGGAATCCCTCTTCCTACCCACAACCCTCCTGGAGCTCTAAGTATAAGTACCCACATCTGTGGCTGCCAAGGAGCTGCAAGGGGCTTGGTGCCCTGAGAAACATCTCTGGGCTTAAGGGCTCCTGGTTATCATCACCCACATCTCAGTAGGATCTCACAGGTCCCTGGAAAGTAGCATGCACTTGTAGTTCTCAAAGTCACTGTAAAAACATGTCTCAGGAATCTCAGCACTGCACCCCAAACCTTAAAGTTCTTTGCTTTGGTGGGGAGGAGGTCAGGGTTACACTATGTAGCCTGGACTGTCCTTGAAATTGTGATCCTCCTGGCTCTGCCTACTAAGTGCTGAGATTATAGCACATATGCCTCCATGTCTGGATCAAATACTATTTTTTTTAAAAAAACAGAATCTCCTATAGTATAGGCTGGCTTTAAACTTGCTATGTAGCTGAGGACAGCCTCGAACTTCTGACCCTCCTCAATGCTAAGGTTACCAGCATGTGCCCACACACCTGGCTTATGCAGTGCTGCGGATAGAACTCCTGGCATCTTCAAACCTGCAGCACAATAGGGAGACAGTCTACCGACAGAGCCACAGCCACAGGTCGGCAGCTTTGCTGTTTGTTATTCCATTTGAGACATAATTTCACCGTCTCCCAAACTGGCTTTAAATTGACCATGCAGCCCAGGCTGAACACTGTAAACTTTTAAGACACAAATTGCTTCCTAAACCCATCCTTTGCAGCTAACATCTTTTTCTCCTAGGCAGAACTGAGCTCGTGCCCAGTGGCCAGTGCTTACCAGGGCAGTGTGCTTTTGGTTATACTCTTATTTCTCTTCCTTTGGTTCCAGTCGCCTTCCCTCCCAGCCAGTGATTGGTACTGAAGCTCTGCTTCTTGTTAAAGTAGACCACTTCTTCGGGTGAGGGCAAGATATCACTCTAGTTGGATAGCTACCCAGCCTACCATACGCCGGAGCCAGGGAGAATGAGAGGATTCAAACAGCAGTTGCAAAGAATCAGGATTCTCTAGGCAATACCTGGGTTGTTTTTTGTTTTGCTTTGTTTTTTTGATTTTTGCTTTGTTTTGTTTTTTCTTTTTTCTTTTTGGAGACAGAGTTTCTCTGTGTAGGCCTGGAACTCACTCTGTAGCCCAGGCTGGCCTCAAACTCACAAAGATCCGTCTGCCTCTGCCTCCCGAGTGCTGGGATTAAAAGCAGGTGTGTGTCACCATTGCCCCCATGCAATATCTGTTCTTAAAGAGGAGGCATTTGTTTTAGGGTCTGTGGAAACCCAGGGGTCTGTGACTAGAGGTGTATTAGGCTTAAGTTTTTTTTTTTTTTTCTTTTTCGAGACAGGGTTTCTCTGTGTAGCTTTGCGCCTTTCCTGGAACTCGCTTTGGAGACCAGGCTGGCCTCGAACTCACAGAGATCTGCCTGGCTCTGCCTCCCGAGTGCTGGGATTAAAGGCGTGCGCCACCACCGCCCGGCAGGCTTAAGTTTTTATTTGATCGTCTCTGGACAGGTGAGAGGGGGAAGGGAGATTATATGAAAGAAATCAACTAGAAGAGGTCGGCGATGGATTAAAAATTGGTGTACAACACATGTTCATTCAGTATCCACATATCTCTGCCCCCTTTATTCCCACCTCCCTTCCCCCCACACCCAGCCTGATGCAAGTGATACCTTGATGGCTATTTCAGCTGCAACCCGACACAAACAGAGAAGCCCCAGCTCCCAGCTGCCAGCCAATTCTGATCCCCTAATCCCAAAGGGACCAGTTGGTCAGAATTCTCAGGGACCACAGACCCCCAGTGCAAATGTGACTTCTGTTGCCAGCGCTGTGGTCAAGGTCAGACCACTTAACTTCTTTGCATACTATCAGCCTTAGCACCAGTCTCCCTAGAGACACTCACACCACTCCAGATGGGAGTAAGAAGCAACGTGAAGTTCTTGAGAAAGTATTCTAAAACTGAACCCCACCATTTCCCACTAGAACGACCAGAATAGTCTTCCCAACGTGGGTGGTCCAGTCAGCTTCATTTTTGGCCTGGACAGCTGTTGAATCATCGGTCACCAGGACAAAGTGAAGATGGCTCGGTGCCCTTCAGCCCTGCTGCTGAATGTGTATCCCATTACGATAATGGAGAAGTTAATCACTAGCCTCATGCTTGTCTGAGGGCTTTGTGAGTACCCCCAGATACTGCATGGCCTAAACCTGTATCAGCTGAAAACTGCAACCAGCACACACTTGCCTGGAGCTTGTGAGATGGAGATAAAATGGAAAGACTCCTCGGAATAGAGAGGCTAATTGATAATTTGAAGAAATAGACATAAATTCCTACTAAATGTGGGCTAACGCCCTTATTTCCCAGCCCTTCCCACAGCCAGAAATTCAGTTTGGTGGTCACTGCCTGCTCAGTGACACAATTCTGCAGTAATCTGCAGGGATGTGTAATTATGCTATAGTTAGTGATTGTTCACTAAGTAAACCCTTGGTGTAGTTACCATGTAAGTCAACGGTATTTACAGGATATTTTTTCTGCCTGTAACTCAAAGCCTTACCGAAACAAATTGGAATTGCCTTCTGGAGGCCGTTGTTATAAATTACAGACCCAACATCTGTCCACATCTGCAGTGTCTAGACAGCCTGTCTCAGCTACAAGAGAGGAGAGAGATGAACAACAGAAAGCAAGAGAGACTGAGGAGTGGCAGAAGGAAGCCTCAGGTTCACTGAGATCTTTTTTCTTCCAAGGTTTACCCCGATGCATGTTTCTGAAATGGACCTGAACCCTCAGCAGCCCAAAGCTGAGCTTAGGAAAGCTACAGTATGCGCCCCACTTCGAGATGGTGGGCAACATAGCACTTCTGTTGGGACAATCTCTGCCCAGATGTGCTTTTGGTGAGGCCTAGAAGGTCAGGTTAAATGCAGAGACCGAGAGGGATCCGGAAAAGAGACTTCTCCTCCCCATCTCCTCTCTCCACCCTCTCTTTCCTGACCTGGCTCTGGAGGAGGGGGGGCATCCATTCGCCTACCTTTCTGGTGGTCCCTCTCCTGCATCCACGATAAGGAGCCTGCCCGTCAGCTGAGTGATTGTATTTTTTTACAGTTCCTAGCACAAACCTTCTCATTTATATGTAAAGCAGCCATTAGTCATAGCTCCGTTCCCACACACTGCCTGATGTACAATCACATTTTGCAGCGGATGAATCTTTCCACACAGCTGCTCTGCTATGAATAATCCGTCTCCAGGCCCATAAATCAGAAAAAAATCATGCACCTCGTTCGCCTGATCCTTACACAAAGTCATATATTTTACATGAGGACGAGCTAAATATTCATGAGTCTTAAAGGCTTTTTTCATAGGCACTTGTTGGGGTTGTTTTCCACTATTGGGGGGAATACCAAGGTTGTATCTATGAGGGAACAAGGGGTTTTTAGAGAGGAAGAGAAGGAGGAGACAGAATCTCTCTCTCTCTCTCTCTCTCTCTCTCTCTCTCTCTCTCTCTCTCTCTCTGTGTGTGTGTGTGTGTGTTGTATATTTGAGAGAAAAAAGGAGAGTGAGACTGAGAGAGAGAGATTGATTCCAGCTTATCTCTTGGTCTAGGGGTCACATGGGACAAAAGATGGTCATGTGGGGTGTTAGAAATATGATAAATACCTGCTTACCTGAGCTTCTGACTTGCTCTGGGTCGTGGATTTTGCCTCCCTGAGCTTCAAGGTCATTTTATAAACCTTTGCCCTCTGACCTGTGGAGCAATGAACTTGACCTTTTTCTGTGATGCAGAATTTGGGGTGGGAGAGTATGAACGGGAGAATCACCACGTGTAAAATAATTCACTCTGATGCTAATAAAGCCCTGACCAGGCTGCATGTGGTGACACACCTGTAATTCTAGCTCTGGGGAGAGTAAGGCAAGATGATCATGAGTTGGAGTCTAGCCTGGGCTACATAGTGATTTAACAAAAAAAGTTCCCTACCTAGCCACACTGAAGGCTTCCAACAACTCCATCATTTCCTGTGTGTCGCTTATGTTAGGGGACAGTTAAGGTGGCTTTCCTAATCCTTAGCTCTTTCTTTTCAAATAATAAAAAAAAAAACTCTCCCTGGAACGCACCTTAAATCCTTTCCCTCTCTCCCCAGTGCAAAACTCCACCCTCCCCGACACCCCCCCCCCCCCCCCCCCCCCCCCCAGCTAACAGAAGGCGAGCTGGAGGAGTTCCCTGCTTGGCTGTGCCAGCCCCACGCTCCCGCCTTCCCTCGCTAACCCACTTGTCATCCCAGCTCCTCTGCTGGCAGGTATTTTTTCATTTGATCCTGGCATTCGCTCAGCATTTGTCTCAGTGCTCAGTGGTGCTGTCTGTCTGACTCATTAATGCCGTGGTCTGCAGTGGAGATGATGATGTGTCCTCACCTCCCTTCAAAGGTGAAAAAAAATCCTTCCTCTTGGTTTCACTGACAGCATAAAGAACGGATGTGGAGGCAGAGATCTCTCAGATTCAACAGAAGATCTGGAAACACATAAGTGCTCCGGCTGTGTTAGCTTTCAGGGCATAAGGACAATGCCTGGATTCAAGGGGCTGTCCTCTGAGGATGAATAGTATGGAAACTGTAAGGACACCTCTCGGGGGGTTATCCTTTATTTAAAAATCTCATTGCTGAGGCCGGGGGATGTAGTTCAGTGTGTAGAGTACTTACAACAGAGGAAGTTCAAGTCTGAGCAATTTAGTGATATTTTGTCTCAAAAAAAAAAAAAAAATTAAGAAGAGCCAGGTGTGGTGTGCACTCCTTTAATCCCAGCACTTGGGAGGCAGAGGTAGATGGATCTCTATGAGTTCAAGGCCAGCCTGGTCTACATAGTTACTTCCATGACAGCCAGATCTACATAGTGAGACCTTGTCTCACACACACACACACACACACACACACCAAATAAATAATAAAAAATAAGAAGACTGGGGATATAACTGAATGGTAGAAAGCATGTGTGAGGCCTTAGGTTCGATCCCCAGGACCACCACCTCTGCAAGCAAACAAACAAACAAACAAACAAATAAATAAATAAATTAAAATGACTACTCTTGTCTACTACGTATATAGGATCTGTGAGACTCTAGGTTTGATTCTATAAGAAATACTAAATATGAGTCTTTCTCAGAGCGACTGTGTGGCCTGGGCAGGCGTCTCCATGACGGGTAAGGTGACCTGCTGACGTCCCATGCAACCAAAGTCAGAAGCCCATTTTCTAGTAAAAGGGGGGACCTGTAGGGTCCTGGCCCCCGTTTTGAGTAACTGTTGCCTTGCTTGCTGACCTTGACCTTGATATCCTCCCTATGCTAATTCCCTGCCGGGTTCCACCCTCCTGAATGCTTAAGGGAAGTTCCTTGTCTGTGTATCCTGCATAATGGGCTTTAATAGCTTAGATGCAAGATTGTAAAATATCCGCTGGGCGGTGGTGGCGCACGCCTTTAATCCCAGCACTCGGGAGGCAGAGGCAGGCGGATCTCTGTGAGTTCGAGGCCAGCCTGGACTACCAAGTGAGTTCCAGGAAAGGTGCAAAGCTACACAGAGAAACCCTGTCTTGAAAAACCAAAAAAAAAAAAAAAAAAAAAAAAAAAGATTGTAAAATATCGGTAGCGAACTTCTGCCCTCTGGGGTTCTCCCTTTGTGCTGTAAGCCTGTATTTGAGACCTCCTCCCTCCTTCAATAAACGGCATTCGGCAAAAAAATAAATAAATAAAAATAAAAATAAATAAATAAATAAATAATAAAATAAAAAAATGAGTCTTTCTATCAAATACGACAAAAATTTGTGTTTGGGATGAGGAGTTTAAATCTCAATCCTCCCCATCTTGTAAGACTTTTATGTAAATATTTTAATAACATCTCATCACCACCATTCCCCATCACACACACAAACACCAGCTAAAACCATACAAAAGATTACTGTCGAATTCTAGAAATTTGATGGTCTGGAGCAGTGACCCTGTTCTTCCCCTTTTCCTTTTCATTTCGTGTGACCAGTTCTTTTAAGACCAGCCAATTGAATAAGACTGTGAGGTCAGGCCCCAGCCAGGAGGGGAGAGTCAGCCACACCTGGGTTAGAAGGAAAACCAAGTGCACTTCCAGCCTCAATGTGACCGCTCTTCCTAGCGTACTCTCCTGACCAGGAGCTCAGACACTTCATTGGAATAGTGGTCTCTTTCCTTGTGACCCTGGACCTTATTTCTAACAATTCTAGTACCACAAACTAACCAACCAGCCAACCAAACAAATAAATTACTTCTGGTGCTGACTATCTTCTGTTATCAGATTGATACAACCTAGTGTCATCAGGGAAAAGAGAACCTCAACTGAAGAATCACTCAATCAGATAGCCCTTGGCCCTTTCTATAAGCGATTGCCTTGATTGGTTATTGATCTGGGAGATCCCAGCTCACTGTGGGCAGTACCATTCCTAGGCAGGTGGTCCTGGGCTGTATAAAAAAGCTAGCCAAACAAGCTGGAGGTAGCAAGCTAGTAAGAAGTGTTGGTCCATTTTTTTTTTTTTAAACAGTCTCTCTATGTAGCCCTGTTGTCTTAGAACATTCTATGTAGACCAGGCTGACTTTGAACTCACAAAGGTATGCCTGCTTCTACCTCATGAGTACAGGGATCAAAGGTGTGCACAACCACACCTGGTTGGTTCTTGGTTCTTGCATCCAGATTCCTGCCTTGAGTTTCTGCCCTGACTTCCCTCCGTGATGAACTGTAACTTAGAAGTGTAAAATGAAATAAGCTCTTTGCTCCCCAAGTTGCTTTTGGTCATGGTGTTTACCACAGCAACAGGATCCTTCTCTAACAGATGGGCAAACCAAGGTATGACCTTGGCAATGACTTTTTCAAAGACAGATCAAGAGGTGATGATAGGAAGCTACAATTACATCTGAGTTTCCTTTTGTGATTTTTGACTCTGGCTATCACCCCCACACACCCCAACTTCCAGGGCCAAAGGCCATGGGTCAAAGCTTCTCCCTATTTCTCTGAACTCTGTGGGCTTGTCCTGTTTGGTTGCCCTTGCTCCTCTCCTGCTTGAACCCACTTTTCCTCCTGTTCAAGGAACATTAAGTCAGAGAACTGCCAGAGAGGAGAGGAAAGTCCAAACAATCACAGATGGCAGACTCGAAAATTTAATTTAAAATCATTCTTTATTATCCAAAATATTAAAATTAAAGCTATAATGCCCACAGGAAAACACAGATTAAAACCCCCAATGTTTCACAGTCTCTTCCTCAGGGGGTCCCCAAAACACTGAGTGAGAATGCTTTCGAAAAGAAAGCAGGGGTGCTGGAGCCAAGAGCCAGCTGTAGATCATTGAGCCAAATGCTCAGTGACTGACCCAATCAGCTTCCCTTAAAGCCAAACACCAACTGTTTCATAGGCAATTAATGATTGCCCCGGCAAATTAAAGTGCATCAAGTCATCACAGGCATCCTTGAATGACAAGGCACACAACAGTCACAGGTATCTCATCCCTGGCATCTACATAATGATATTACCAGGCTAATCTGGGCTCGGA